ATTTGTTTACAGCAGCATAGAAAAACATGCCAATAAAGACATTTTTCTGTATTTCATTGCATCACTTTATCCCATACGTTCACAAGACTGCAGGACCTTAATCGGGCAAAGAATACTTTAGATTTATATTTAATTAATTATATACTTATATCATGCTTATCACCATTAATTGATTCAACCAAATATTAAAAGTACACTTTACAATCTTATAAAACTGTTCATAATATTGAGATTAATGTGATGTTTGTTTCATGTGGTGTGTATTTGAATGTGTGTATTATCTTTAGTTTGTTCACCGAGCCTCCGCGCCACTGTTGTGCTCTGATCCCTGATGAAATTCTTGCATATGTCTCAGAGGAATATTAGAAGGAACACATTTTTAATTAAACTGTGTATAATGTGCTGAGCAACTGTGGTGAATTCCCCAAATACCTGAATAACTACAAGGTTATAACTAATTTAGAACATCTGTCTTCTCCCTATTGACAGACACCATTGTGTTTGTGTTTGCTTCAGCCATACAGGATCGATGACGCACATGTTTTTACATCCTAAACTCAATCCAGAATTTAGCTTTTTGCCACAGCAGTTTGTTGATTACTGTCATCAGACCAGCTCTCACAAATTCTCACATTTGGGTTCAAATGAGGCTGCAAAAGTTTTAATTTTGGATACATTAAACATGTCTAGTTTGTTGCCGTGAGGATGTGCCCAGCCTATTCTCTCTTTTTTAATCTAAGTTAATTGGTTATCGACATTTCTCAAATAATTCTTGTTTTCTTTTGTTTTCTTGTAGTTTGTATGTGCATGTATATCATTAAGTGGGTGATATATATAAGTATATATGATATATATTCATAAGGTTTATATGGAAGGGTGAGGGCCCACAGTACGCTGGTACAGAGGCGTGCGTCTCTGTCATTCTGTGGCAACACTGGGAGAGCTGAAAAATGATAAGAGGAAATGCATTGGCAGGTGCACACACACACACACGCAAAGCACATAATGTATATTTTTTCCCCATGAGATCTCTATGATTACAGATAACATTACCAACATATTTTTTACTTAAGATGCTGCCTCCCTTCTATATCGCTCACTTGGTGTTTCAGTGGCTGTTTAGGCATACTTTCACTGTTTTTTTTAAAGTGCTTGCAGTACATTATTTCATGCATTAACAACAGCTAACATTTTGTAATCCTGAGGCCTGTAAAGTTTTCCAGGTATAAAGCATGATTGCCCTCACAGTTTGGTTAGATTTAGCTTTGTGCAGTAAAGGTTGATGGAAACGTTAAAGAATCATTCATTTTGTGTGTCAGTATTGTCCCTTTTAGTCATTTGGAAAAATCTTATGTTTGCTGTTCTATTTGCTGTACAATTTCACTATAAATTGTCACGTATATATGGCTTGATTTTCTTAATTCCTTAATTGTGTAATTACACCCTCTATAAAATTGCATTCTGCCTTTAATTGCCGACATTTCACTCGTCATGATCTAATCCCTTTAATTAGAACCCCTGATATTTTCTGTTTATCCTCAGTTATGTAATATTCTTTATGTGTGGCCTAACACACACAAATTATGTTCCACGATTTATTTGACATTGTTCATCTAAATGAATGTAAGGGAATAATCACATAATATTTGGTTTTGGTTTGCCATTGTTCCCCTCATGAAATGTTTTATCTGTTTATTCCTTTCCTATTCAATTTCTCATCCTCTACCACATTCAGATAGCTTATACACATACTGTTGTATAACTAATGCAGCAGCTCATCTATTTACAGTATGAACAGTCCAAATCACAACTGGTATAACTATAAACCAATATCTGATTGTACAGTTTTGATGATCGATAGATATGGGTAGTTTTTAGTAAATTTTTGTACAGAATCTCTGTTTTAAAAAGTTTATTCAAAGTGCTCCGCCCATGAGCAGCAGTACTTTCATCTGCCTTCGTCATGGACTGTTTCACTCATTTTTATTCCCATGCCCCTTTAATAAATGATTAGAATACTGACACAGTGCTGGAGGCATAACTCAGCACTTTAGTGTCCCTAAATGTACACACACCCACACAAACACAACACGCGCACTGACCGCACTTTATGTCTGGCAGGTATTTTTCAGTTTTAGCCCATGAACCAAAATGTTTATTTAGTATTTTCCAAGATGAATAAATTCTACCCATGTACAGTACAGCTGCCTTCTTTGTTCGGTCTAACTGCATCTCAGTAATGGATTTTCAAATTCCACTGGCAGTAGTTGTAAGTCAAATTGTAAGATAATTGAGTTCAGAAGATTGCACAATGACATAGCAAATACTTGGAGGTTTTTGATCATCCCCAAGTCTGCAGACCTAAAATAAAACTCAATATCTCTTAAAGGAATAAATGCACCAACTACTCCGGCTGAAATGTGGGCCCTGTCTGGTTAATTGGAGTTCATCCACAAAACATCAAACAATTGGAAGTTGAGAGGAAGCCTTTGTTGGCCACGAACAAATTATAAATCAGAGCATATGTCCTAGACCACAGTAGGAAAACATGCCCCACATTCTTTGTCTTGCATGCTTTTTTGGCATATTGCAGCTCAGATTTCTATTTGATTTCCTCTCTCGATCAATATTTTATTGACCTTCCTTATTTTCTACCACTATCTAATAAAACCAGAGCTTTACTGAAATAAAAGGACTTTTTTTATTGTTTACATCTGCTGTGTCCTGAACAGATTCTTTGAATTCTGTCCGAAATAATGGAAGCTCAGGAAAATGACTCCTAGTTGAATCTGACTTCTTTCCTTGCTGTAGCGCATCCCATCTCATAATACGATGGCACAGTGAACATGGGATTAGGGCTGAGCTTTATAGCCCTCTGTGACACAAACACCAGACACTTTATGTCTCATTAGTTTTCCTAATAAAAGGTGAGGACACTGATGCTGACATTTATGCTATTACTGCAACTGTTTCACAAATTACTTAACAACTATTGTCCTTCATATTATCCTTATTAATGTTGTGCTGCAGACATGTGGATGATCTGTTTTCTTGCCATTTGGAAGCATGAACTTCAACAGACATGGAACTATTGGTTAGTGTTTCACCCAGTAAGTTAAGCAAAAGTCTGTAGTTGATTTGTTTGAACCCTGTAGCTATACAGAGAGCAGTCTCAGGTATTTGCAGCTATATTTTGTATTTGGGATAATACTTGGACTTAACATGCTCTAATTTAAATGTTAGTTGTTATTGTACTTTATGATGTATAGTTTCCTTGGTGAATCTTTTAGCAACATACTACTGGTTTCATTCAAGATTGAACCAAGCAACCCCCTCCTCCACACTCTCTCCCACAGATCTATCCAGAACCCGTTATACATAGAATAAATAAACTTTTATTGACACAGAGAGCAAAAAACTCACATCTGGAATAACAGAGAAAGAGCTATAGAGACCAATGACTGTATTTACGACAAAGAGGTGGCTGGGAGGTGGAGGTGGAACTAAACACAATATTAACTTTGTTGTGTGAATCAGTCACTCGTCTCCTTCTACAAAACACACACAAAATCTACTGACACTGGGGCCTTTTATAAATCTACAGTATATTCTCCAGTGACAGGGTGGCGGAAGGGGTTGTGAAGTTGTCCTCTTTCTGTCCAGTCTCTAGCCACCATAGGCTGTGGTGTCAGAAGTTCAAAAGTCACATCTCTTCATTTTCAGTGGCCACATATGTACAGTTGGGTCCAACAAGTACAAATTCCTGTTAATCTTTTTAAGCTACATGAATATGTGTATTTTCACAGCAGTTAGACAACTTTTGCTTTACCTGTTTCCTACACAAATCAATGAAATCAAATATATCCTGTACAGCACAACATACAGTATTTGACTGTACTTCAGAAAGACACCTGTGTATTTCGTGTTCCTGGTCAACACCAGTACAAACCAGTCAACACAATGCTGTTTGATACAATATACCGGATTTTTCAATATTACACGGTCCCAAACTATTATTATTACGTCACAGATTCTACTAGCTAAAATCAAACAGGCAAGACAAAGTGAAAAGTGATCCTAAATAAGCATTCATTTAAAGAAAATGCCTGTAGACTTGTGATAAAAGCAACCAAGTTGTGTCCAGGGCTCTGTTGAAAAAAAAAAGCAAAAACCATCAAATTCACGGTGAAACATCTCATTTTAGTAACTATCCAAACATTATGGGGTGGATGATACATCATCAGAAAAAAGTCTGTGACTTTCTTATCAAGAGGTGAACAGTTGGTGTATGGGCTCAGACTGAGGTGATATTTGTACATATGTGTATGTACATAGAGGAATACTAGAGTTGGGCTGATTGAAATGAACTACAGAAGCAGTGAGGTGGACTGTGGTGTTGTGTGTTTCACTGTACAGTAAATCAAGCTGTTTTTTTAAATGAATAGTGAAGACAAAACAATGATATTTACACTGCTGTCAAGGTATACATACAGCCGCATTATCTCCCCCTTATTAAAATCTTACTCAATGTAAAAAAAAAAAAAAAAAGGATAATCTATACAGTGCTCTCCTCCACTGCCCCACTGATTCCCAACCTTTTGCCTCTAGTCTCCCCAGTGCCCAACCTATTTTCTAGATGTGGACAATTTGTCTCTGACATTAAGACGGATTGGGACAATGAATTTATGTTTAATTTGGAATGTGCTAATGTAACATAACATAATGATTTGTCTTTGTAATTACTTGTTCATCAATCATAAATATTTAGTTTCCTGCTTGGTTCAATTGATTATATGACTGAGCAGCTTGGCAGAGCTGAATGTCTCTATTTACTTTCTTGAGTTGAGATGTTATAATTTTTCTCATAAAATGCTTCATGGGACATGAAGCACCTCATCTTGTCCAATGAGGTGCCCAGACTGTAGGTTGGGGACCAGATACTGCACTCTTGTTTCCTTTCCCCCATCCACTTTCTCTATTAATCTCTTCTTTATTCCTATTCTATCCCCTGCTGCTGCAACCAGCTATGTGAAGTCCTTTGAAACAGCCTCTATGAAGTTGGGTGCTGACATGAGGATGGTGAAGGTGCAAATGATGGAAAAGAGAGAGAAGGCCACCAGGCACAGCCGGTCCACCACAGCTGCTGCAAACTTCCACTCGCTGCAGATGGCCTCAGCCTCGTCCTGGTCCCGGAACCGCTGGGCTATGTAAGACACCTCCTCCAAGATACGCTGGATCTCTGGTGGGGGGATACCAATCCCCCCAACTCCTATCCCTAGACCTCCGACACTGCCAACTCCTCCAGGTGGCTCAGCCTCATCACTGAGGGAACCGTGGCCACGTCCCCCTAGTGCTACCCCCGAGTCGCTAGAAGGGGGGCAGTGTGAGCTCTCTATGGGGTGGTAGTTGCCGAAGTAGAGGCTCATGGAACCATTGGAGGTGCCTGTGGGGCAAGGTGGGCAGGAAGTCTGAGAGAGTGGCACACTGAGGCTTGGTACAGTGCCCATCTCGATGGAGCTGGTGCTGGAGTGGTACTGGGAGGAGTGACGGTACTTGTAACCAGGCCGCTTACGCTCATCGCCAGGTTGTTTCATACGGAGAAACCAGGCACACCAGTTTAACAGAACGACCCGAACCTGAAAGCAGTAAGTGAAAGTGTCAGTGTCACACACACATGATTACACAAACATAGGCATTTGTGCTAAATGTCAGTCACTCACCCATTTGGGCATCTTGCCTCCCTGAGGGTCATGATGGTGAAACTGCAGGACTATAACTGTCACCACTACGGACATTCCCACAATCATCATAGTGCTGGCAAAGTACTGGGCTGCAGAGTATGTAAAAACATCAACATGCTTTTAGTTTTTTGCTCAGAGATACATTTAAGGTCATTTGCATTTGTTACTTGTTGAAATGTTTTTCCATTTTCAGCCCCCCTCGAACTACCCTATGGTCACGTTTAATGAACATGTACTAACAGGTAAAACATTAAGCTTGAATTAATTCCAAAAAATAGGTTGATTTCACAGTCTCACATGAAAGGAAAGCAAATCTGATCATTCTGCGCAATAGGTTATATTGCCAAGGGGAGAAGATGCACACTTCCAAACAAACAGGGGAACTAAAATCTGTGCAAAAAATCAAAGATTGTGGTAAACAAACCAAAAACAGTAGAGAGGAGGGAGAGAGAGAGAGA